CTTCTAAACACATTCCAACCATCAAAACCATGCCAGGACCCCTCGTTTTCACAACCCTAACCCTACCCTGGTGCACATCCCTAACCCTAATATAGGGATAAAGGCTATTGAAAATAACGTGATTTTGAAAGTCAACCATCAAATCATGCCCCTCCTTTTTCTAACCCTATCCCAGTGACGGTGAACCTTTTAGTGACCGAGTGCCCAACCTGCATCCGACAACCCAGTCATGTTTCGCAATGTGTGGGCAGTGCAAGGAGCGAGCAGGTGGGGACGTGGCAGCAGTGTGCCACAGTATCCGCTGTGCCCTCTGCTGGGTGCTCAGCACAGGCTCAGGATCAACTCACGGGCCAGGGAGGGGCGTGAACATGGTCAGCAGGACTACTGCCTCCCTCTCTGGGCTAGCTGCTCCCTCGCCTGTGGGCCTTTTCGTAGAGCAGCAGAGTTGGAAGGGGCCTGGACGGCTGTTGGGGCAAGCCCCTTCTTTTGCGGGGCACGAACTTAAGCCACCCCACTCAGATCACTGCCCAATTTCCCCGTGAAGGTCTTCAGCGTGGGAGGGCACACCACCTCTCTCAGAAACTGCTCCCGCCATCGTATTGCTCCGGCAGTGAGGAAACCTTTCCTGATACGTAGCCTAAATCTGGCTTGTCATTTTAGCTGTACTCCTCTGGACCCCTCTCTAATTTTTCTGTATCTTCCTTAAATCTTGTTGCCCAGAACTCGACACGGTGATCCAGATGGGGTCTGACTAGTGGGGAGTGTAGGGGAAGTACTACTCCTCATGTTGTAGAAGGAAGAGATCCCTCACTTGGCAGTTTTTTAAGCCAATGCTTTTGGTTACTTTTTCCTGGGTGCAACACTTGGTGCTGCGTTTCATTCCGCTATTTCCAGCCCACCACTCCAGCCTATCAAGAGCTCCCCGAATCTTCTTGCTGTCTTCCAGGGTATTCACTGTCCCAACCAGTTCGTGTTCTCTGCAAATCTGATCATCCTTCCTCAACCAAGTAATTAATGCAAATGTGGAAGAGCGCCGGGTCCAGGACCGAGGCCTCTGGTACCCCCTTGTCCCCTCTCCCCAGTTTGAGAAGGTGCCATTGATCAGCACCTTTTGAGTCCGATTTGGCAAGCGACTGGACTCCTGTTCTTCAGCTTGCCAGTCAGGACATCCGGAGGCCCTCTGCCCCAGGGGGTGCTCGCTGGCAGTCTTCTTTGAGATTCCTCTTCTAACCTGAGAAGGGCTCTGGCCACCGGCAAGGCAGGAGGGCTCCGGGAACGCGCCTCACGCCCAGTGCCTCTTCCTTGCCAGTCAACCGCACCCACTCGACGAAGCCGAGGAACACGGAGGGGCAACAACCGCACGGTGCCGAATGCACCCAACTTCAGACCTGGGGTGCCTGGGAGCGGGCACGGCCTGCCTCCCCAGGAGGGCTTCAGGCACGTGTGGGGCCGATGAGCAAACCCCCCACATGCTTCAAGCGCGCCACAGCTGCGGCGGGGAGGTCTCTCCGTCGCTGCCACCACGTGCGGCAGGTGCCCCCTTCCAGCTCCTTTACCAGAGGCCGTGACTCTAGCTGGGGCCGCCCTGAGCCAGGGCCCAGGGACCTCTGGGGACTTGAGAGTTTGGGAGGGTGGGAGGGAAATCTCCCCGCATAAGTAGAGGTCGGCGGCACAAGAGGCCCAGGAAAAAGAGCAGTTCCCGCCCCTGCCCCCCCCCCCCCGGTGGCTTTGTAAGCAGCAGGCCTCTGCCTGAGCCCTTGAGCGGAAGGCGGGAGGCCCGGGGAGGCCGCTCTACTGCCCCCGCCGAGGGCTATGGAGACTCCCCGGACGAGTGGGACGGGCCAGGCAGAGGCAGCCCTGCCCGGCCCCGACTGACCTTCCTCCTCCTTCATTTTCTTCAGGTCGTCCTCCCCGACCAGGGAGACCCGCTTGGGCAGCTTCTCCGCCGGCTGCTGCTTCAGCTCCACCTCGAAGTACTTCTGCCTCTCGCGGAAGGACCGCTGCTCGGGGCTGTGCAGCGCCCCCAGAAACGGCACCTGCTGGGAGGCAACGGGCGAGCACTGGAGGTAGACCTGCCTCGGCCGGCACTGCTGCAGCCGGGGCCGGCGGGGGCCACACGGGTGCCTTCACTCACCTCGGAGGGCGCTGGAGACTTCTCGGCGTCTTCCTGGCTCTGCGGCTCCTGAGGGAGGGGGCGCAAGTGCTGTGACTCCAGGGAACGCGCGGCCCTGTCCCGGGACCGCCCCGAAGCCCACGCATGGCTCACCTCTGGCTCCAGCAGCAGGTGTGGCACTGGGACCGCGGCAAAGGCCTTGTAAGCCTGCTTGGAACTGACGGGGGTTTCGCCTGGTGAGGGGGGCCCGGGAGGCCGAGGCTGGGGGCAGCAAGTGCTGGGTCAAGGGGGGCCAGTGCCGGGGAGCACCCAGCTGGGCAGCAGCGGTTGGCAGTGCCCGTGGAAGCTGTGTGGCCCCCCCTTCCTCTGCCCTCGGGGTCCCAGCAGCTGCCCACTCCCACCGGTCTGCACAGGGCGCTCCACCTCCCGCCCCCTGCACGGCTCCTCTCCCAGTGCAGCAGGCGGGGGTGGGGGGCATCCGCGGCCACTTACAGAGCCGTGGATGCTGGAGCCCAGCTCAGGCTGCTGGAAGGGGTTGGGGCTGTCCCGGCCCTCGGGAGTCGCTGGCAGAGCCGGGCGTAAGCGAGAGACAGGCTGGATTGTGCCCGGCTTGGTCTGTGCGAGGAGGAGAGGAGGAGGGCGGGCGTCAGGCCGCGGGGCGAGCGGCCCCCCAGCTCCCAGGGAAGGGCGCCCAGGGTGGGCCCTGCAGCGGCAGAGGCCTGCGCCAGGGCCAGGCACGCAGGAGGACTCACCGCCTTGCTCTCAGTGTGGCTGGGGACGAAATGGACCGAAGCCTGAAAGCAGGAAGTTGGGCAAGTCAGGGCAGGGCGGCCCGGGCCTCTGCTGCACAGCACGGCCGGGCACCCGGCCAGCCTCGCCATGCGCCCGCGCCCCACAGGCCGAGCCTGCTCCGCAGCCAGAAGCCCCTCCGCGGCCCCCGCAGTGCCCCACTCCCGCTGCCCGGGGAGAGCCCCCGCCAGTGGCCCCGGTGCAGCCGATCCTAGCAGAAGTCCTCTGGAAGACCAGGCGGAAAGCAGCAGTGCAGGGAGGGAGACGAGACCCCCAAGCACCTCCCCCGACGGGCCGGGGAGGCCGGGCCAGTGGCACAGAGCAGCACAGCACCCCACACCAAGGCGGCACTTACAAAGCGGGTCTCTCTGCCCACCAGGTGGGCAGGCCGAGGGGTGGCACGTGGCTGGTGTGTGGCCAGGGCCCGAGAGAGAGAGAGAGGCAGAGGGAGAGGCGGAGAGAGAGAGAGGCGGAGAGAGAGAGACAGAGAGGCTGACTGACCAGGAAGCGAGGCAAACTCGCTGCCCCCCCACCCGCCAACAGCACTGCTTACCAGCTGGCCACCAGCAGGGTCTCGCCATGCTGCTCCCAGTTCAGCGTCTCCTGCCGGGGCCTGCAAACAGTGGGAGGCAGCCGTCACCCCCCGCCCCGCAGCCGCCCCAGAGCTCCGTGCCAGGGAGGGACCCCCGATCCTCCGCCCGCGGCAGGGAGCCAGGCCAGCCCCTGGGACCCCCACACCGGATCAGGGCTTGGCAGCGAGCGGGGGCTCCGCTGGCCTGGGCTTCCCTCAGCAGCGCCGCATCCCGAGCCCAGGGCCTGGTGCTCTGCTCCAGGCACTCCCCCGGGGCGGCCCTGCCCAGCCCTGCTCTCCCACGCACTGCAGACGACATGCGGCTTCCCGCCACCTCTCCTGAACCAACGGAGGCTCTGGGGGGCCAGCCTGCCCCCCCGACCGACTGCCCTGAGGCCCAGCAGACTGCAGGAGCACCCCGGCAGGGCCCCGCGGAGCTCCAGGTGGCTGCAGCGTTCCAGCATCGGTGCCGGAGCGCACCAGGGAGCCCCACGGCCCGCGGAACGGCCCGGCCTGGCCCGGCACACCCGGGGTGGCCTGCGGGGCTGCGCCCACGCAAGAGGAGCACGGCGCCCGTGCCCTTCCCTTGCTCCGCACGGCAGGAAGCTCCTCGCCCTCGTCGGTGCACAGAGCTTGGCTTGAAGTTCTGCTAAACCTTGCGAAGCCAGAGAGAGATAGCCAGTCCTGCCTGTTTGGGCGGGCGGGGGGGGGGGAGAGGCTCCAGCAGCCCCTCCCAACAAGCAGAATCTGTTATACCAAACACAAATGGCAAACCAACAAATATGTATTTGCTGAATTTTGCCTTTCTTGGACAATCCCGGTATGCTTAAATTATTTAGGGAACAATTTTAATTGGGATGCTGCTTTCTTCTCCCAAGAACTCAGAAAATGGCTTACAATTGTTGTGGACAGTGAACACGCTTGTTTTGCTTGAATGTCAGAGGCTTTTAATACAGAACAGAAGTTTCTGCTCTGGTCTGGTTTCAGTCCCAGGATGGCTGAACTGGTATGCTTGGGCTCTTAGCTTTGTGCTCTCTAACTGTTTCTGGGGGCACCCGAAAGGTGTGCAAATACTTTAAAACAACAACGTGAAAAGTAGCACAACCGTTAAAGGACACACACACACACACACACACAGCCTCATCAGAACGAAACCAATCAGCAGCAGCAGGTAAAACAAACTCTAGATCTGCAGGTTATTAGCCGAACACAGCATAACGGAGAAGAGCTCACCAGTCAAAGGCATGCAGGGAGGCGAAGGGGGTCTGTGGCCGAAAACGCCATGCCTGCCCCACGGCACTTGCCCCTGCTCCACATGCACATGCCACGCCTGAGACACACCGGGCAGGGGCAGGGGCAGGGGCAGCCCCAGCACAGGCTGTTCACGCCACGTGCCCGCCCATGTGGGCCACGGTCCCAGCCCGCCGGGTGTTCAGCCGCGTGGCGGTCCGACCCCCTATTTGGACCCACGGCCCAGCAGCATGCGGCGAGAGCGGCACGGCACGGCACGGCACGGCACGGCACTCTGTGGCTGAGTGGGCCACGCAAGCCGGCTTGCCTGGGCGCAGAGGCTGGTCTTCAGCACGCCCCCCTGGCCATAGCCCAGCGGGGGCCCCCCCAGGCACGCCTTGCCCTGCCGATTTGCCACCACAAAGGGGTTGGCGCTGAAGGGGATGGGCTGAGAGTCCACCAGGCTCTCCTCCTCGGCGGCCTCCCTCGCTGCCGGAAGAGGCACGCCGCCACTGCCGCTGGCCCCAGCCGAGTCCGAGGGCGGGGGCCCTGGTGGGGCAGGCCCGTGCGAGCCCCTTTCCATGTCACGGAGGAACAGCTGGGGAGGAGACACACGGGGCTGTCAGAGGGCTGGGCGGAGGCTGCCAGCCAGTGCGGAAGTGTAGAGGCCCAGCCTCTGGTCCCCCCGACGGAGCCCGGGAGCCCAGCGAGGCCCACGCAGGCTTGGGAGGCCCGGACGACAGGAGGGCCCCGCAAACCCTCCGAGCATCGGCCCACCACCACCTCCAGCACACAGGTGCCCTCTGAGGCCGGGAAGGGCTGGCCCACACCCACCACTGCCTGCTTCAGCATCACGGGGACGCGCTCAGGCCCTGCGGGCATTTGGGGCCACGGTCCCCACTCAACGGCTTCTCCAGGGGAGCAAGGAGGACCGGCAGCAGCCCCCTGGCAGAAGAAAGCCAGGGTAGGCGCCAAGAGACTCCTCCAGGTAGGGTGCCGGGCTGACGAGCTGCTCTCCCCGCCCAGGAAGCACTGCCAGAACCCGCTTCTGGAGCTGCCACGGGGGGCCGGATCAGCGGCACGGAGAAGGCCTCCAACGTGCCAGGCCTGGGGTGACTGGGCCACTCCCGAAGCATCCGCTCCCCACACAGGCCAGCGAGGCTACCCCAGCGGCCAAGGGAGCCCCCGCTGCCCTCCTGTCACCGACTCCCTGTGCCAGCCCAAGAGCCACCCCACCAAGGCCCAGGGAAGAGCGGAGAGACCGGCCGCAGGACTCACCGGCTGCCTGGCCACAGACAAAGGGAGCGCCTCCGCCCCAGCCCCCCCGCCACACCCACCCGCCTCGACCAAAATAGCCCAGCACTGGCCGGGCCGGGCCGCCCAGGCATCCCGCTCTGCAGAAGAGCCAAGATCGGGTTTCCTGAGGAGCAAGGCCCCCCAGGCAGCCCACCCACTGCCTCCTCCTCCAGCCTGGCTGGCCGGCAGCCAAGGAACTTCCCGGGAGGGAGGGGGAGCTGGCAGTGCCCCCGGCTGCCGCCTCCGCGGTTTCCGCAGCCTCCCGCCCCGGCTGGCATGGCCCGCATGCTCCTCCGGCTGAGCTGCCCCATCCACCCCCACGAGCCCCTGCCCAGCAGCGGCTCCGCCTGAGCTGCAGCCCCCCCTTCCCGGGGCAGCAGGTGCTGTGGGGGGCAGCCCCGTCTCTCCCTGGGGCTGAAGCGCCACTGCCTAAGCTGCCCGTTGCCCACAAGCTCCTTCCAGCTGCTCCCCGCCCTCCGCAGCACTGCAGGCCCCTCAGAGCTGAGGAGGGAGGTGGCCCGCCCGCCCGCCCGCCCCGCCCCGCCAACACTGACAGGCTCCAGTGGGGCCAGGTCCAGCGGTTCCTCGACCCCCAGGTGCCCCCGCCACAGCCTGCCCTCCAGCACCTGCCAGGCCAAGCCAAGTCTCCTGGAGGGATGGCAGGAGCCGCCAGTGCGAGTCCATCCTGGCCCCGCTTCACCGGCTGCAACATTCCCAAGCGGATTCCCAGTGCCTGACATGACTTGGGACCAAAGTACCCACTGGACCCCCCCAGTGGGTACTTGTGTGGGGCAGACCCGGTCCTGGCGGAGTTCTAGCAACTGCCAGTGGGGCACTGGAAGAGCGAGCTTCCCGAGAAAAAGTTGGACAGACACTCTGGTGTGGTCATTGTGACCGACTGCGCGGCCATGGGGCCGCCCCACAGCCTCAAGCCGGCCTGCCCGGTTCTTGTGAGCCTGCTGGGTCAATGGGGACAGGAGCCAGCCTACACGCCCCAGCCAGGCAGGAGAGACGTCCGGAATGCCCCCCAGCCACTGGCCTTTGTGTACCACGCGGACACGTGCCAAACGCCACCCTGGGAGCCGTTGCAGGGAGAGAAGAAAAGGAAGGGGACCGATAAACGAGGGGAGAAACCCAAAGGGAAGACCACGGAAAAGTGTCTTGCTTGGGGGATAAGGAGGAAAGGCTGCACTGAGCTAAGAACCAGCAAAACAGTGGAAGACTAGACCGAAAGGGCGCACCAGAGGATTCTGAAGGATCTGAGAACGCTCGGACAGAGGCCCGAGGCACCCAGGGTGGCGCCTGGAGAGGAACTGGGGGAAACGGCGGGAGCCCCCACAGGCCGACCGAGCTCAGCGGGAAAATCCTCCTGGCAGCAGCCCCCGCCCCCGAGCACGCACAGGCCTCACGTGCGCAACGCAAGGGGCCCCGAAGAAGACCCACCATGATCACCCACCCCACAAAAGGAACCCCGCTGAGGAGAACGGGGAGGCACCCGCCCCCAACAGCTGAGCGACAAGATCCTCAGCAGAATGCCAGCCCCCCCCCCCCCCCCCGTGCACCCAGCCCAGTTCCGCCCACACTGAGGGGCAGCCGCAGCAGCCTAGCAACGATCCTTCCCAATCCTCGCCCAGAGACACGGGCAGGGATCCGGCCGGGGACACCCTGCAGCGTCCCTCCTCTGGGGAGCAAGGGCCAGGGGCAGGAGGAGGAAGCAGAGGCATGCGCAGACTTCCCTGCGACCCCCCGAGGCACTTCCTCTAGCTTCCCCTCCCCCGCAGCCCGCACTGGCCAACAAAGCCCACCCTCCACTTACGCCGCGGGTGGCTTTCTGGAGGCCGGTACTGGGAAGGGCTGCCAGGGTCCGGTAGTCCAGCTGCAGGGGCTCAGCGCCGAGGTCCTGCAGAAATCGAGACGGGAGGGTGCGATCAGGAACGGGGGGCTGCTGTCAGCCAGCTGGCCGCTGCCCCCTCCCCCCAGAGCCGCCCGCCCCCCGCTCACCTCGGCCTCCTCGGCCAGCAGCTGCGCGGCCGTCTCCCGCTCCCTGCGCATCCGCTCCTTCGCAGCGCCAGGCAGCACAAGCAGAGAGAGCAAGAGGAGTCAGCGGCAGAGCTCACGAGAGGGGGCGCGGGAGGAAGCGGGGTGCACAGAACGCTGCCCGAGCGGGAAGGGGCAGGCCGATCCGCCTGGCAGGCGTGCGGACGGGGGACGAGCCCCGCGGCAGCCTCGTCCAAGCCAGCTCTCGCTGGCAACGAGGCAAGCAGTGGCCAAGCGAGGCCCCCAGCAGGCCCCCAGCGCGCACCGAGCACACGGGGCGCCTGCAACCAGAGCGGGCCGGGAGGAGGGCTCACCCAGCCCGAGGCACACGCTCAGCCTGCCGCGAGCCCGCCCTCGCGAGGCAACCAGCCGCGTGCCGTCCAGCGAGCCCCCTGGTCCGGCGGAGCGTCGCACCCAGTCTCCACAGCTCCGGCCCAGCCCTCCATCCCTGGATGACCCCCTGGGCCTTCCCAAGGGGCCGGGGGCAGCGCTCCTCCCTGCGAGCCAGCACAGCCCTGGCACAGGCAGAGAGCGGGCTGGGTCTGGGTCTGGGGCAGGCGGCTGACCCCCCCCGCCCCCCCCGAGCCCTCACGCTTCAGTCGTAGGGAAGGAGCAGAGCTGGGGCGTGCGCCGCCTTGCTGTGGCTGCCAGAACCAAAGGCCAGGTGCCGGGCAGCTGAAGGGGGGCAGCTCCTCCCTTCATTTCTGCCCGTTCAGCGGACCCTTCAGCTGCCTGGTAGTGGCCGCCACATCTCCAGAGCCCAGCAGACACGAGGGGCTGTGCGAGGCGAGGCACCGGTGCACACGTGCCCTGTCAAATTTCAGGCACGCTTTTGGGAGGTTCCTGTGCCGGCTGTACCGATGATCCGGATCATGATGGCGAGGCTGTTTGTGAACCGGTTCAGACTCCAGCTACAATTCGAGGTGCTGAGGCCCACGGGGAAAGGCCAGTGGGCAGGACTGACCGAGGGCAGACGGGGGGACCACCGTTCTCAGCCGTGGGAACAGGGGGAGCTGCATCCTGGGGGAGGGGACACTGAAATGGAAAGCCTCCGATGGAGAACTTCCACCCGTGGAATCAGTAGGCCCGGTTGCTCACCATCGCCATCGCCATCATTGGAGGAAAGCCAACTGGACACACAGAGGGAGGAGCAGAGGCGCCCCCTTGCACCGCCCCCCCCCCCCGGCCGAGGTACAGATGGGTTGATAGAGTGCTTTGGGAAATGAACCACTGAAAGGGTTCAACACTTCACTTTGTGCATGCTCAGAGGCTCGAATGTAGCAGTAACAATCATGATCAAAGAAAATGCCGGTGAGGAGAAACTGGCCTCCCGACAGGCACCCTGCTGAGCCTTTTGAGGCCAAGACGTCTGCTCTGAAGGAAAGTGCAGAGGGCGCCGGTCCCTTGGGAGAGCACATGGTGGCTTCAACCACCAGAGCACTGCAGGCACCAAGTGCGGAAGGAAGATCAAGGAAGGGAGGGGGGCTGGAGGGCACAGAGCGAGGCGGCAGAGCCGGGGCCTCTGCCTGCACGCGGCTGCCAAGCAGCACACGGGTGAAGCAGAAACCCCTTGGCTGGCCCACTTCCTTACTCTTCTCTTCGAATAGATGCTGTAGCCATTCCGATATTAGAACCTTTCTACTAATTGTATTTCAGTAACCTTAAGGAAGCGAAGCCCAGGCCTCAAACCAAGGTCCACCCTACTTTACAAGAGACCCAGGGGAATTTTAGGCTGCCGACAGCGGCAGCTGGCAAAACAAAGATGTCCATCTGACGGTGGGAATGCAGCAGGCCCCAGCAGTGGGGGGGGGGGGGCGTCTGACCCGGTCTCCTTTCCACCCACAGAGCAGGACACAACTAGTCACTCTGCCTTTCTAGCACGGCCTGCTCCCGCAACTCCAGCACATGGGAACAGCCTCAGGGGCCTGGCCTGGCCTGGCCTGGCCTGGCCTCGCCGGCCTGGGGGATGCCGGCAGCTCAGAGGAATTTAGCCGTGGCTCGCAGACACTTTGCATCCGTGTGAGCCACAGAAGGAAGGCTGCGAGAGCTGGACCAGGCCGAAGGACTCCCTGGGGGCGAACCTGGTGTCCAGGTGGTCGGGCAGCGCCCCTGGCAAGCCCTCGAGCACGGTGTGAGAGCTCCTGCTCCAGAGCGCTCCCCTCACCCGGACGCGTTCAGGCACCGTTCCATCAGAGCCTTTGCTAGATACACGTGCAGCCCCCTCGCCTGCCAGTTCCTTTCAACCGGAAAGGCTGGACGGGTGGGACACCCCTTTGCAGAAGCAACCCTGCTCCCTCTTCAGGCAGACCGGCCACCTTCCCTAGAGCAGGAAGCTGCTCCAGCCACCGATCCTGTTCGTTGCCCTTCTCTAACCTTTTTCCAGCACAACAATGCCCTTTTGCAGGTAAAGTGACCAGAATGGAGCACAGCTTTCCAAGTGTGGGAGGTGGGCAGGGGAGGGGGCTGGGCAGGATTACCCACAATCGCGCGCCCTGGAGGGGGACCTTGCCCCACTCCCTGCTAGGTGACGCGACTCGACGAGGAAGTCCCGCCCATGTCATATGCCACGGCAAAGGAAACGTGCAGGAAAGGAGTCAGGAGCACTTCCACCCGAGTTGAGAAAAGGACGCTGCCTGAGGCCAAAGCAAGGCAGCAGTCAGCACCGGCTCCACGTCGCCCCTCGAATAAAGCGCAGGTCATGCTCGCCTGCCTCCACGGGCATTCAGACAGGGCCCTTCCCCTGCTTGAATGCCCCCTCCCTCCCTCCCTCCCTCCAGGCCACTCCTGCAGGGTGCCGGCGGGCCCCTCTGGCACAGGACTCGCCCGGGTGGCCCAAGCAAGGCGCCTACGCCGGACGGAGACGGGGGCGAGGTCAGCAGGACGCACAGGATGCACGGCCCAGCGAGCCGGGAGCAGGAAAGGGGGGCGCCCACGTCAGTGTGCCTGCCGCACGCACCCACATGCCCCCGGGCCTCCACGCACAGCCCCTCTGCCGCTGCCGCCTTCCCTGGCACAGCCGAGGGACGTGAGGCGGGAAGGAGGGGGCCTGCCTGTGGGGATGGCGCCTCTCCATCGCTTGCCATGACCCAGGCAGCTCCCCTCCAGGGCTCTGGGAGGGCAAAGCCAGGCGACAGGCTCTCACCACTTTCTCCATCTCTTCCCTCTCCCACTGGGTCGTCTCCCTCACCATCTCCATCTCCTGGGGACAAAGGAGACGGTCAGAGACTCGACTTGCCACACGCTCAGCCAGATCTCTTGGGGGAAACCGTGGAATGGGGTGGCACAGCCAGGTGTGGGAAACATGATAGGCAGCACTACCGGAAGGGAAGGGAAGGGAAGGGAAGGGAAGGGAAGGGAAGGGAAGGGAAGGGAAGGGAAGGGAAGGGAAGGGCCCTTTCCCTAAAGCAGTCCTGACACCTGTGGACCACCTCCGCAATTCTTTACCTTCTGAAGAATATCCAGCTCCTCTGGACTAAAGTCCCGGTCAATGGAGGAAAGGCTCTCCAGGCTGTTCTTGCGCCCAATGCCAGCTGCAAAGGGGTTTGCGATGATCCCTGGGGACACCTGCGGCCAAGATGCAGACAGACACACGAGCAACACTGTCAAGCTTGCCCAGCAAAACGGAGGTGCAGGTGGTGAAAGCTGGGCTGGTGGCAAAAGCGGTCAAAGTCAGTCAACAACTGGCCGCAAAAATTAAAAAAATGATTTTGGATTTTTCTGCTCCTCTTGCAGTGCTAATGGGGGGGGGGGGAGTCCTGTTGAGTTCAGCAGTGTTGCTTCCACGTAAGCAGGTATAGGACTGTGGTCTTTGGCTACCAACAAGAAATAAAGCTCCACAAAGACAGTATCATACCTGGGTAACTGTTCCCAGGCCCCACCTGGTCGTCAGATGCACTTTAAAAGGGTTTCATTTAATTCCTTTGACCACAGACATTGGTCACACTGTTCACAGCCTGCCGCGTGGTCAAAGAGGGAGGCCGTGTCTGGAGCAGGAGCCAGAACGCCCCTGGAAGCCTCTCCCACTCAGTGCCCTCCAGAACCTGGCGCCAGCTCCACACCCCCGCAGCAAGCTGGGCTGGGCTGGGCTGGCCTGCCCCCAAGGGCCCTTGCCTCCTGCCCTGCAGGCCCCTCCAGAGGGACCAGCAGCACCCGGCCAGCCGGGCGCCGCATCGCAGCCGAGCCCCTGGCCGGCACGGCACTCACCTCCATGGCAACCACGGCCTTGGGGTCAAACCCATCGCAAACCAGCATGAGGAGCGTATCTCCCACGGCGCGCAGGATCTGGACTGCTTCTGTGTGCGTCATGCCCAGAAGGCTCTGGTGATTCACCTCCAGGATGCGCAGCCCTACCTTCAGCCGACCGTCCCGGGCTGCAGCCCCCGTGGAGCTCACCTACAGGGGCAGAAGGCCGGTCTGAGCAGCCGCTGGTACAAAGGCTGAGGGGGGAGGAGGGGGCTCTCCTGACCTCCCGCCTTGCAGGACCCACAAGCCGCATCTGGCTGCCCCCCACTAGGAAGAAAACATAACCGTGTCTCCTACACAAACAGCACAAGGACTCAAGTAAGGGCAGGCAAGGAGTCAGACCGCGGATGCTCTGGACTCCAAGACCCAGCATCCTGGGAACTGCTCACATAGGCAGGGGCTTCTAGGAGTTGAAATCCAAAAGATCTGGAGATCCTCCTGAGCCAGTGAAGCACCTCGACCCCCACGGAGCAGGAAAGTGACACACAGATTCCTGCGCCACCCCCCCCAGCATTCCAGGCACGCGGCAGAGGGGGGAAACCGAGTCGGGGCCTCCCGTCAGCCTGGCTTGAGGGGCAGCGACAGGTGGGGCCGCCCTGCACTCCCTCCCACCCCGCCCCGAGCTGCCAGCCTGCCCAAGCACATGCCCAGGACGTGCTCAGGCACAGCTCTGCAGCTGTCGGGCTTGCAGGGACGGCTGCTGCCTCGGGCTCCAGCCGTGAGCGTTCTTCTGCCATCTTTTAAGCAACAGTTCTTGCTGCCCTCTTGTACCTGGGCAGTATTTTTATTTTTAGAAGAGCAACTGTGTCGATCCGTTGTGGCAAAACTAACTTGTGGCACCCTGAAGTCGCACATGTGTGCTTCAGCATGGGCTTTGGGGAACATGGGTCCACTTCACTGGATGCCTGAAGTCGTGTGTCGTTATGCAGGTGAGGGGCAGAACCGCGAAGCCCCGCTGCCCAGCGCCACCGGGTGCAGGAAGGAGGCGGGGAGTGGAACAGGGCGGGAGGCAGCCAGAGCTGCAGTACCTTGGAGATGAAGATGCCCTCATCTGTGGGGTCGAAGGGGTTCCCGGCATGGCCCTTGGCACCGCCGCGGATGCTGATGCCCAGCTTTTCTCCCGGCCTCTTCTCGATGCAGATCTCCTGTAGGCACACGGGAAGCAGAGGGGAGGGCAGTGCCTTCCCCCTATCCCAGGGGTGCCTGCGCCTTCAGGGTGCCGCTCACTCGAGGGCCCCAGGGCCCGTTCTCCACCTGGACACTGCCAGCCATGGCAGCCGCTCGGGCCTCCCTCGAGGAACGGTCCTCGCACGCCTCATCACTCTGGGCTCCACAGGGGACCCTGCAGCCCCGGCCTGCTAGAAGCCTCCTGCTCTGCTCAGCCCTCCACCACCGCCCCCGCACCCGAGGGCAAGCTGGCCAGTGGGCTCAGCAGCAGAGCCAAGCAGCCGGGAGTAGCGGGGGGGGGCACTGCCATGAGGGGAGCAGGGGCACCCTGAGAGGCTCCAGCTTTGCCAGCTACACCAGGTGGGAGATGGCAGGATCGGTGCAGGCTGGCAGGCAGCAAAGGCGGAGCCGGGCCTCCGCAGACCCGCTGGCCCTGCAACCGGGCGCTTTCAGAGGGCGAGCAATGGTTGGCAGGGTGGGGAGGGCAACCCGGGTGGTCCAGGCACTGCAGCAGCTCCCGTGAGATGGACACGTGCAACATCAGGCGCTCTCTGACGCGGACAAAGGCAAGCAGGGAGCACACCGAGAGAGGTGCGTGGCCTCATGGGAGGAAGTGGGCAGGGAAAGGCTCTTCCACTCTCCAACCAGGGGAGAGCCGCGGGAGGCCACGGAAAGGACTGCAGTGCCGAGCCGTGGAAGTTCCTTCCACAGGATGACCTTCGGGCGACCCAGAAGGGATCAAGAGTGCTGCAGAGCGGAGACAGACTGCCTCGGCCCGCCAGCTGCTGGGCAGCACAGGCAGGAGGGTGTCGCGGCATCTGGTCCTGCCAGCGGGCGCCCCACTGGGGGTGCCTCTTGGTCCCTGTGGACGACGGAGCCCCTCCAGGCCTGGTCCTCTTACGTTGGAGAGGTGGAGGACAAACTCCTGCGGGAAGCTGCTGCACCCCGCAAGCGTAGGAGCCAGCGCTGGCGTGCTTCAGCCCAACAACCACGTCCGGTCGTGTCACTCCTGGAGGGCTCGCGGCAAACCCACCTGCATCCCGGGGGGGGGAGGGTCTCGCCTGACCACCATCCTCAGTTCCTGGGTGTTGGACAGCAGGGCGCTGACCGCCTCCTGGTGCGTTGCATGGCGCAGGTCCGTGCCGTTCACCTCCAGGATACGGTCCCCGACACGCAGCCCGCTGCGTGAGGCTAGCCCCTGGGAGATCACCTGCACAGGTGAGGCAGACGGGGGGGGCTGGGGGGGCTCTGCCTCGCGAGCGGCGCCCCTAGCGGGGCCTGCAAAGCGGGGCACTGGGTGCAGGGCAAGGGGCTCAGGCAGGGGCCAAGGCGGGAGCTGGCAAACAAGCTCTCAGCCCGGGGAGAGAGAGCTTCCGGGCAGGGCTGGCGCCTCCCCGTGACGAGGAAAGGTCCCAAACTCTGCCACTTTGGGGGACCTTTGAAAACATGGATCCTAGAGGACCCAGAGGGGTCCCCAATGGCACCCCACGCCCGCCCTCCAGAGGAGTGGGCCCTGGCCAGCCCTACCTTGGAAATGAAGACCCCAGGCTCATGGATCCCGAACGGGTGGCTCGAGTGGTCGCTGCCCCCCACAATGCTGAGCCCGAGGGGGCCCCCCGCCTTGACCAGACACACCTCCTGCAGGCACACAGGCAAACCAAGAAGCACGGCATGAAGGGAGGGAGGGAGGGTGGGAAGGGGGCACCAGGACAGAACCTCCAGGGCTGCCCGGAATGCGGCTGGGGGCTGGGGGCAGAAGGGGAGGCAGCACAGCAGGGCGCCCTGTGCGGGGAAGGGGTGGGGGCAGGCCCAGCCCAGGGAGGAGGGCCGCAGCAAGCAGGGCACCTCCAAGGTCAGTCCAGGAGGGGGCCGGAGAACCTCGCGCACCCGGCAGCCCCTGAGGCAGGAAGAGCTCTCCAAAGGGCTCCTTCCTCGGCGGGGCTTTGCCAAGGCAGGCAGGCCCCCCGCCCCCCTCCCAGGGGAAACATACCTCAACGGGGTACTGGCCCTCCAGTCTCGGGGGCAGGGGGCTCCTGGGAGGCAGGGGCATCTCCTCGTGTGGGCTCTCCCGGAGACTCGGCGGTGGGGGGGAGTGCACCCGCCCCCCTCGCTGCCCTGGGGGCAGGTCTCCCTCGCCGGGCTGGGAGGCAGCCTCTCTCTCGACCAGCAGCGAGATGGTGGGGGAGGCAGCGGTAAGCAGCGCTACGGCCTGGTCATGCCTGGCTTCCGTCATGTCTACCCCATTGATCTGAAAGGGCCGAAACCAGCACCAGATCAGGAGTGGAGGGCCTGGGGCAGGACAGAGGGGCCCCGGCCCCGGCCCCGGCAGAGAGCAGGCTGAGGCCGGCGCTGGCACTGTCCCAGGCTGCGGAGGGGCCGGGCGCAGCAGTGGGCAGGACAGGAAAGCCGTGCCTGGGCACCCACGGGACGGCAGGGGGGCACGGGGGGAGACCACGCCCAGGTGAGTTCAGCTCCTCCGGGCCTCTCTCAGCCCCGGAAAAGCACAAGCCGCCCAAGCAAGTGGGTGCCACTGGGGGTGAGCTGAGGAAGGCGGAGAGGGAGAGAGAAAGGGACAGTCGGAAGCCAGCACTGACGAGGCCGTCTCGGGGCTTACCCGCTCAAACCCACGAGCTCTCCCCATGGCTGCTGTGCAGAGATGTCCCCAGAAGATCAGGCAGAGAAACAGCCCCCCCCGCCCCGCACAAGCAGGTGAGAAAGAGCAAGAGTTCAGGGTGGCAGAGGAGCCCCCGGGGCAAGAGGGGAGGGACGCCCAGGCCCCCCAGGCCCTGCTCCGGCAGCCCCACCTCGCATGTGCCCGGGAAAGCCCCTTCCCCCCACCAGAGCCTTCAGCCAGGAAGGCCGGGAAGCTCCCCGCCCCCGAGCAAGAGCAAGCACCGGCCCCGCCAAGCAGAGGACCACAAACCTGCCCCGGGTCCCCCACAGCCGTGCCCGAAGGCGGTCACCCCCGCCGCGCCAGCCGGTCCACGTCGCCCCTGCCACCTGCCCCCGAGCGGACTCACCCAGATGACCCTGTCGCCCACACGCAGAGTGCCGTCCCGATGCGCGGCACCCCCCTCCGCAATCCGGGAGATAAAGATTCCCTGGCGAGAGAGACGCTGGTCAGGAGCTGGCCCGCCGCCCTCCCTCCCCAAGCCGCTCCCCCTGGCCGGCCTCCGCCGCCTGGGCCCGGGCTCCTCAGACTCTGCCAGCAGGAGTCGGGATGGGCAGCTGCCCCGCCAGCGGGCAGGGATCAGGTGTCGCCCGGAGCCGTGCCAGCCCCTGGTTAAAGGGACAGGCCACCCGGGCCCTCACCGTGTCCCCAGGCCGGTAGGGCGTGGAGCCCTTGCCGCCTGCGATGCTGAAGCCCAGGCCCCGCTCGTTCCGCATCAGGCAGGCGGAGAGCCGCCTGGCCGCCGGGGCCGCTCCCTCAGGCCCCTCCGGGAACTGCAGGCCCTCCCGGCGCTCCCGCGGGCTGTAGTCGTCCTCGGGCCGCAGCGGCGTCACCGTGATGGCGTTCTCCGGCTCCACCATCCGCTCGCGCAGGACCGTCATGGAGACGCTGCTGCCCGAGCCCCGCAGGGCCTCCACGGCCGCGTGGTGCTCCGCGTGGTGCAGCCGCACGCCGTTCACCTGCGGGGGCACGAGAGGCCTGGCTGAGGGGCCACCAAGGCCGGCCCGGCCCGGCCCGAGGAGGTGGCCACGAGCAGGGCGGGAACGTGCTGTGGGCCCTGGGGCAGAGCCGGGCCCCGCCTCGGAGTCTGCCGGGGGACAGGCCGGCCGGCCGGCCAGCAGCACTGCATTCCCCCGCGACCGACAGGCCAGCCTGCGGGAGAGGCCACCAGGGCTGCCGCACACAGCAGGGAGCAGCCTGGGCCGGGGCGCTCCAGGCAGAGGGGGCTCCGGCCGGGCTCAGCCCACCAACAGGCCCCTCGGGGCGGAGGTGTCAGCCTGGCGGCAAGCCCCCTTCCCTCGCACCAGGCTCAGGCGCCTGTCCCCACGCCAGACGGGCTGTGGGCCCGAGGCTCTTCCCTGCACGGCTTCTGCCTCCCGCACCCCCCACTCATCGGCCGGGACACCCCGCCTGCACTCCCACTGCCCCAGCTGCTGGCCACTCACCTCCAGGAGCTTGTCCCCCACCCGCACCCCCGCATGGGCTGCCGGGCCCTCCTCGGACACACGGGAAATGAAGATGCCCTGCGGAAAGAGCAGGCGGTTGGTCGGGCGGATGCAGGAGGCCTGTGCGCGCACTCGCTCGCACGCACGCACAGACGCACCGGGCGGAGATGGCTGCAGAGGCCACCCATCCCCAGGGAGGCCTCTTCCCAAAAAGACGCCCCGTGCCGCCTTTCCGCTGGCCGCCCTGCCCAGAGGCTCCGGGCAGTTACCTCGTCATCTCCCTTGTAGGGTGTGGAGCCCTTGCCCCCCGCGATGCTGATGCCCAGGCCCCCCGTCTGCCGCACAATGACCAGGGTCAGCTGGGGAGAAGAGGGAGGGTTGTTACGGGCGGGGGGTCCCCGGAGGCAGCAGAAAAGCCCCGGAAGGCACATGGCGGCAATCCCACGTGTGGCCCCCGTCCCAAACAGGCCACGCTGCCCGCAGCACTGGGGCTGCCATCTGCCTCGTCGGGGGGCAGTCACACCTTCCCAGGGCCTGCCCGTCCACTCGGCTGACACGGCCACCACTGCCCCCCCGGCCCCACTGCAACAAGGGAAGGGCTGTGCCGGTTTGAAAGGGGGCCCCCACCCTGCTGGCTCAAGCTGCACCCACCCCAGCCTGCCTCAGGGCCACAGGCTCCTCTCTGGCACGCGCCTGGCTGGGATGTGGGGGCACGCAGCAGCCCCCCCCGCCGCAGGCACCCTGTCCTGCTTGCCCAGGGTCCAGCAGAGAATGGGTTTCGGGGTGTCAAGAGACACCCCCAGGCACGGCACGGAGCAGCAGGGCAGGCAAGAGCCTTCGGGAGGGAGCTGGCCTCATCCAGCTGCAGGGGCGATCTTGGCTGCACCCCCAAGCAGGCCCAGCGTGGCCCTCCAGCCCACCGTCCCAGCAGCAGGATGAGTGGCCAGGCGAGCCCCAAGGACACAGCTGGCCCGGACTGCGGCCTCTCGGGGAGCAGAACGCCTGGCCAGGCAATGAGGGCAGCCACGCAGCTTGCTGCGGGAAGGGGCCAGGCGCTGAGGAAGCAGCCCCTCGCTTCCGGCAAGGGCAAGCGGGGTGCATGCTCAGCTGGCACTGCCAGACCAGGAGGTGGCAGTGGCCAAAGGCCTGCTTGGGTGCAGCAGCTGCTGCGTGCGTCCCACCGCCTCCACGCCACCCTCGAGGGCCAGAAGAGCGGAAGCGGGGGCAGCGGCGCCACCTCACTGAGCGCTCCTTGGCAGCCAGGCCAAGGCGCTCCCAGGCGGGCAGCCAGACTGGCAAGCGTAAGGCACCCGTCCGCTGGTGGGGAGCAGGGACCGGGGCCCTTCACGTGCCTGCTGGGCCCAGGGCAGGAAGCTGCGTGCGGCTGGCCAGGCAGGCTCAGCCGAAGCCCGCGGGAGTGGCCGACCCGCAGCCCCGGGCACCGGCTGCCGCACCAGGAGGCCCGCAGCCCGCCTTCAAGAAGCAGCGGCTGCCCAGCCGTCGTGTTGCCTGGGTGAGTGTGGGGAATGGCCCACGTCGAATGGGGGCTCCTTTACACCTCCGGTCGCCCACGGAGCATCCTGAGCCCTGCGCCAGCAGGTGCCCCCGCCTCTCTGCTCCTCTTCTCCCCTCCCGTGGGGCTCAGAAAGCCAGAGCCCCAGTGCCTCCGCCTTCCTCCCGGGGAGGCTGCCGAGACCCCGCAGGGCACGCTCCCTGCACGGTGAGGCCCGGCGGTCCCAGAGCACCACTCCACCACCCTGACCTTCGAGACCTCGCTGCCCACCAGCTCCACAGCTGCCCCTGCCAGCCCGGCCCCGAGTCTGAGGAAACGCCTGCAGGCCCTCCGGCCCAGCCTCCGGGCTAAAGCTCCTCCCCGGCCTCTACCCAGCACCCCTGCCCAGAAACAGCAGCTGCCACTCAGAGCTCAGTGACAGGAAGAGGAAAGCAGAGCAGAGGGGAGGGGAGGGGGCATGGGGGCCGCACTGCGATGCAGTGGCTGCCCTGGGGTGGCCCGGCTGGGCTCAGGGAGGAGACGGCCCCCAGCTGGCGGTACAGACCTCTTCCTCCTCAATGCGGGCAGGCTCAATCAGCAGATTATTGGCTTGATCAAACGACACCCCCTGTTAGGACAGGAACCAGCAGAGACGCATGCGGGTTAGTGGAGGAGGACCGAAACCACCACCAGGGACAGCAGGACGGGGGGTGGGCAGGCCAGCCCTGCCCCAGCACCAGAGCCCCACACCAAGCGGGGAGAGAGAGAGAAGGGCAGGCAGGGCGCGCGCCTCTGAGCAGGGGCAGGGGCAGACCAACTCCTCCTTCCTGGCTCCCACGGCCGGCAGAGGCAGTGCCGGCAGCAGTGGTGGGGGCTCAGCCGCCTCAGGCGAGCCGCACTCCCCGCTGGACTTCGTGTCCTCAGTCTCAGCAGGGGCTGGTCGAAAGCTGTGGAGAGCGGAAGCAGAAGCCCCCACTCCTGCCCCGCCGGGCACAGGGCAAGGGATCCCTCGGCGAGCACGTCCACACGATGCCGGGCCCGGAGGGGGCGCTGCACTGCCACCCCACGGTAGCCAGCCCTGCCCAGGCACCGTCCAGGTGGCACAGCTCGGCCTCCCCGGGCTGTGGCAGGAGCCATGCTTTGCTTCCGCCGGGCTGGCGCCAACGGCACAACTGCTGCGACGGCGGCCTTCCCCACCACGTGCTCCTCAGAGGGGAGAGAGCGGCACGCCAGAGCACAGCCTGGCACCTCTGCCGCTGCCCTTCCCTGGGAGCGGGGTCTCAGCGGGGAGGCAATAGGGCCGGAGGGCGGGGAGGCTGCCTCCCCATGTGTGCAGGACATGCCCCCTTTCCCTGCCCTCCAATCCCCACCTGCTCCTGCACGGCAAAGCGAGAACAAGCCCAGGCGGGAGGGCGAGCGTGCCCGGGGCCAGCACCGCTCGGGGGCAGCTGCAGCACTGCGTCGGGTGGGGGCAGGCACTGCCCCTCGTTTAGCGGCAGGCCGGGCCTGGCCGGGCCGGGCCCCTACCTTGACAGAGGGCGGGCCACCCGGCAGCCCGTTCCTGGCCTCCTCTTCAGCCCAGCCGGCCTGCTCTGCCGCCTCCTCCTCTTCCGGCGCCACCGGCTCCGCTGCCTCGTGGACACCCTCCTCAGAGCTCAAGCCCTGCAGCAGGGCCACCACGGCCTCTGGCCGGGGCAGCTGGGCAATCCTGAAGTGCTTCTTGTAGTGGGGAGTATCCTTCCGGATCAGCCGCTGCTTTCCCACCGGGAATGGGCCCTCTTCCTCCTCGTCATCCTCGCCGCGGACCAGCGTGTCTTCGGCAAAGTGCACCGTCGGCTGCAAGGCAAAGCCCCGCCCGGTACGGGAACGCTCAGGCCACGAGATCTTGCCGCAGGGCCTCCCTCTGCTCGCTCTCAGGCTCTGCCTGCACACGGGAGCCCTCGGAAGGAGACTGCCGGGCCCCTGCCCGCCGGGGAGGCCCGCCTCGCCTTCTCTGCAGGACTGGACGAGGGTGCGGGAGGCCTCCGGGGGCTGCTCTGAGCCTCCCTCTCCACCCAAAGCGGCCATCTACCAGGACACGCTTCCTCCAACCGCAGAACTCGCTGCTCCCAGGAAAGCTCAGCTGGCCTAAAGGGCCAGCAGAGTCCAGCCCCCGGCAGGCTGGGAGGCAGAGCGAGCCCCCGCTTCGGCTCGGCCTTGCTTGCTCCGACCGCCACGGCAGCCGCCACGGGAAGAGCAGGACAGCAACCCCCTTCAGTGCCAACTGGCAGGTGTTGGCCGAGGGGGCAGGTTCCACGCAGCCAGGTCCCTGCATAAGCCCGGGCAAGGCAGCGCTAGCGCATCCCGCAGTCCGCCCTCTCCCCATTTGTTAAAAACCGTGGGCGCAGCCACACGCAAACACAATCACTCCTGCCTCACCAGCGCCGGCCCTGCCCGGCGAGCGGCAGCACGCCACTGGGGCTGGGGGGGCCCATCGGGGCCTGTGCGCAGCCTGCCGCTGCCCAGCGCCCCTCATCAGGGGCCACGCCGGGGTGAGAGCACGGAAGCCGAGGCCTGGCTGCGGGGAGGCGGCCGAGCACCGTGCCCCTCGAGGCAGCCTCCTCTGCAGTGCCGCCTGTGCGGGAGAGGCCTCAGACTTGTCTGGTGCTGGCGAACGCTGGGGCGCTTTCTGAGCCGGTGTGAAAGGGCGGCGCACCACCGGAGCCCGAAGGGCACGCTGCCGCTGGCCCAGAGCTAGGCGTGGCCACGCAGAGCAGCTTTTCCCGCCCGGAAAAGCCGTTCCGCTGGGAACCGGGGGCAGCGCGGGCCACTGGCTGGAGGGCCGCAGCAAGACTGCGCCTGGAGGAGAGCGCCCCAGGTGTGCGCTTGCCTCTCGGCCGAGGCTGGAAGCCTCTGAACCCGGATGGGAGCGCTTCACGGAGGAGCACCTGGGGGGCATAATGAAAGCCCGGAGAGGGAGAGCGCGCCGGTGGGGTACAAGCTCTTCAGGAAGGACGGGGAGGGCACGGCGGGGGCTGCCAATGCTCAAGAACGTGGCAGGATCAGACAGGCCGAAAACCTCAACCGTTAGGAGCATGTAACTAAAATGTCCAGGCCAGTCTTGACACGAGGAATGAAACGAGGGAAGCACCCAAAGGAGAACGTGGTGCAGCAAGAGCGGGAGACATCCAGGCAGGCGGGACGAGTGCGCACTCTCACGCCGAGGAGCAGCTGACATTCTCTGGGGCACCCTGCCCCCGGAGGGTACGTAACAAAAGAAGGGAAGCCCCCCAGATCAGACCAAGGGGGCCTGCCTAGTGCCCCCCGAGATTGCTTCTGAGCCACGGAGGCTGATGTGAAGCCCGCCACCACCGCGGGGGGAAATGGGGGCGTGTGGGAGCCGCACATGCCCAGAAACCACACGGAAGTGCGACCGAGGCAAGGTGCCAGGCCACGTCGTGACCACGCGTCACGTTTGGTGGCGTGTGAACACACCCCGCTTCCCTTGTTGCAACTGCTCCTCACTGCGGAGCTGCTCCAACCCCTCGATCGATTTTGCTGCTTTTCTCTGCATTAGCAGATGCATCACTTCCAAAGCACATGAAATGCTAGTTCCAGCATCCTGAGCCTTAGTCAGGCCTCACCTGGAGTCCTGTGTCCAGTTCAGGGCACCTGAGTTTAAAAAGGATGCAGAAAAGCCAGAACAGGTACGGAGGAGGGCAACAGGATGATTCGGGGACTGGAGGCCAAGCCCCGTGAGGAAAGACTGAGAGAACCGAGCATGTTTGGTCTCAAGAAGAGAAGACTGAGCAGTGATGCTGGAGTGATGCTCCAGAAGGACCTCGAAAGCTGTGACCAGGAGGAGGCCAAGATGCCTTCCTGTTCAGTCCAGAGTGCAGGACATGGAGTAACAGACTTGAGTTAAAAGGATCCTGAACAGCCGGGAGACTCTCCTCACTGTCGGAGCAGGATGACAGTGGAACCGAAGACCCAGAGAAGCGGTGGGCCTTCCAGCGCTGGAAACGTTCAAAAAGCTTCTGGACAGCCCTCCGAAGGGGATGGTGTGGCTGGGGCTGAGCCAGGGGGCCTTCTGGACCCTTCCCACTCTAGTACCTATGATTCTAACATGTTTTCCGAAAAGGCACGTCTGGTCTCACTAATGCTTTATAGATCTTTGAGTGGGACTCAGCATGCAGATGGGCAGCCGTGACGCGAGAGGCAGCGTGCGCTTGGCCTTTCAGCATGAGAGCTTCTGACGGAGCTCCTTGCAAAAGGTTCCTGCACAAACGTGGCAATCGCGGAGGAAGAGGAGGTCCTCTTGGGTCTGGGGGCTGCTTACCGAACAAGGACGAGAGCAGTAGTAAAGTGGCAGCTACCTCACAGTGGGGGTGGGAACAGAGGAGAGCAGTGGGCCCGCCAAGGGCCCTAAACGCAGACGGACTGACGGGCGCCGAGCTGGCAGTGAATGGCCAGGACGGGAATCCTGGGAGGCAACGGAAACATCCGTCCAGTACACAGAGCTCTGTGCTGGGCCATTCGGAAAGGAGCCGAGACAAAAACGGCCAAGAATATCATGTCCCTGTCAAACCTTGAAAGCGCCTGCCTCAGTTGCCCTTTTCACCACCAAACACCGCCCCCCCCCCGCGTGCCCTTTCCACTTGTGTTGTTCTTCTCAAAACCTCTTCCCTGAGAGGCCTTTTAAGTGGAAGAGGGCACCCAATTCGAGTCAAAAAGGATATCGTCGAGATGGAAAAATGCAGACTGCATTAATATTAGAAAAACAGTGAATAGGGGAGAAGATGGGAGAACTGGATAAAATTTTGCATGCTGTGGAGAAAGCTTGTCAGAAGTCTTTTTCCATCTTGTGTAATCCTAGAACTCCGGATCGTCCCAAGGTGCTGACTGGGAGAGTGATCCGGGGTGACCAACAGAAAAGCCAGCTGCTGTGCTATCAGAGGTAGCGGGCCTCAGTACACCTGTTGCCGGGGAACATGGGTGGGATGGTGCTGCTGCACTCGTGCACTGCTTGTCCTGCGGGCAACTGGTGGGCTGCTGTGGGAGCAGACGGGCCCTGGCCTTGCCCAGCCTCAGGGTTCTCGGGATGCCCCACGAGGTGCAGCAGAAGGGGCTACGGGCGCACCGCCTTCAGACAAGGCCGGGCAAGCCGCAGAACTGGCCGCAGTAAGCGCCGAGAGAGGGTCTGCACAGAAGCAGAAGCCACATGGCTGGTGTGCAGGGACCAGAGAGAGGAGTGCTAGCCACTCTCTTGGGTGCCTCAGGCCCCCTGGCAGAAGATCCTGAGCTTTAAAGTCTCGCTTCAACGCCCTGAAAGGGGATGGGGCGAGCTCTGGAGGGCAGCTCGCTCATCCACGGCCCCTGGCTGCGGGGGCTGCAGGAGCCTCCAGCCACGGGGCCATCCGCTCCTGCCGGCCAGCTGCGGTGGGGGGGAGCCACAGGGCAAGCGAGGGATGATCCTAGCCGGGTCTCCCGCTGGCCCCTTTGCGGCAGCGGCAGTGGGGCTCTTCTAATGCTCTCCTGAGCAAGAGCATCTCCTTGGAGACCCCCGCCCAGCAGTCTCCTCCTCCTCAAGAGGGCTCAACCTCACATGGCCCTTTGCCAGCAGCCTCCCTCCTCAGCTACTCTCCCTTCGCATGAGCTCCTCCCAACCCTCTCTACCCAGACACCCGGCTCAACCTCGGGGTCTTCGCTCATCCGGATGCCAACCCCTCAGGAAGCTCCAAGAGTGGCAACTTGGGGGAGGGGCTTTTCCGTGGTGGCCCCGCACCTTTGGAATAACCTGTCCGCTGCCACCTGCCTGGCTCCAAATTTGCCTTCTCTTCGGTGCCAGTCATGGCAGCCCTCTTTGTGGAGACCTTTAAAGTCCTCCCTGGTCATTCAGGGGCCAGACACAGTTAGACAGGTGCCTTTCTTTAAGTCTTGGCTGGGTCTTCTTTTAATATTTTCCGTGCTATCTTAAATCATTTTTAATCCTTGCTAATGCTTTTATCTATTTTATGTTTCCATACTTTGTTGTAAACCACTCTGAGAACGTCTGTACTGCCGGGCAGCACAGAAATGAAATACATGAAGGGCGACCTGCCGCCTTCCTCGGGCCAGAGCAGGGCCGGCCAGCCACCCCCTGGACCCACCCCGCTGGCTCTTGGCTGAACACACACCCCAGCAACCACCGCGAGACCACACACGGCACCCAAATCCTCATGACGGAGGCACTGTGAGGGGGGGGGCCTGGGATGGCACAAGTGCAACCCAGATTCTTCAGTGGCAGCAATGGCCAACGGGTGCCCCATTCCATGCTGAGCGCTGTGGCTCGGGCCCCCGCCGGCAGCTTCTGCCCACGTCCCCACCACACAGAAGCAATGGTGCTGCGAGCGCATGAGGACCGTGCTCCCCAGGCTTCCTGCCGCAGCACCTACACGGCTCTGTGACGACCCCAGCCCAGCAGGCGCCCCGGCACGGGGTTCCCCCATCTCATGCCCGGCCGAAGCAGGGGGCACAGCTGGCCCTGCCCCAGGCAAAGGGGCAACTCCTCCCTGCGGTGGCCACCCAAACCAGCGCCGTGATGTGGGGCAGGGAGGGTGCCGCCTTCACCAAAAAAGCAGCTCTCCTTCCCCAGTCGGGGCCACGAGGCTCGACCCAGACACAGTCGCCGCCACAGAGCCCAGGGCCCCGAGAGGCCCGTTCCCAGCACTCCCCCCCCCCGCGCCTACCTCACTGTACCCCAGCTCCAGCTCATCCTCCTGGCCTGCCGTGCCGTCTTCTGCTGCAGCAGCCTCCCGCCGCGCCTGCTCCACCTCCTCCGCCCTCACGCCTTCCTCTGGACTGGCCCTCGCTGCCTCGCCAGGCCTCGGTGCCTCGGGCACTTGCCCCGCCGGGGCCGCTGCCTCCTCCTCCTCCTGGCCGCTGGCAGAGACGGTGCTGCTGGAGACATGCGAGTCCTCGCTGCGGTTGGACGTGGCACTCAGCCTCTTCTCCTGCACGGGACGGGACACAGACATGCCACGCACGCTCACACAAGCGCACCGGTGCCCGAGCCCCTCAAGCCGAACCATGGGCCGTGGCTCAGGGCCCCAGCAGTCGTATGATGCCGCAAAGCAGGGGGAGGCCTCTCTGCCCAGGTGGGCGGTGCCCCCGTGGGCCAGGCAGCCAGGGCGTGTTTCGGGGAGCCTCTGGGCCACTGACGTCCTCTCCCCAGGCAAGGCACCTCGAGGTGAATCCAGGAGGCAGCAGCCCTCCGGTCACGGTGTGGCGATCGGCAGGTGCCTGGAGGCACTGTTGCCGGGAGCCAGGAGGCCCCCACCCCCACCTCTGCTCTGCTGGACAGTGGCGCAGTGGCTGACCCAAGGCACGAAGGACCCTGCAGAGCAGGGCCAGCGACCGCTCGTCCTCAGCCCGTGGCTGGCTGAGCCAGGCCCCGCTCACCTCGGGGGGCAGCGAGTCCGGCTCCACGCTCAGCCTGGCAGCAGACGCCTCGCCGCGTCGTCCTTCGATGACCTTCTTCATGGACTTCAGCTCGCTCGGGTGGGGAGTTGCCCTGCGGCGCAGACCCTGCAAGAAACGAGGCAGTGGGGAGGCGCCCTTTGCCGCCGCGCCACAGCCCAATCCTGCTCTGCGGGAGGAGCAGGGCAGCAGGTGCCACAAAAACGTCAGCGCTGCCGAAGCCCCCCCACACGTGGCTCCCCCGGGGCGGGCGGCGGAGGGGGGCCGGGGAGGAGACCTGCCTGCAGCCCCTTCCCTCCTGGGGCTCTCGGCGGGGACAGCGCCCTCCCCTCCTCTGCCGCTTCTGACTACCAGAGCAGGCCGGCCAGCCTGGAGAGGGGCGGGTGGCCCGAGGCCCCCACGATCGAGCAGCCTCCTGCCCCCCGGCCCATTACCCGCTTCTCGGGCTCCTCCTCATCGTCATCTGTCCGGGGCTCATCCACAAACTGGATCACACTGACCCGGTTGAGGTTGGTGTCTGTCCAGCTCTCGTCAACACTGTTGTGCAGAAGGTTCTCTGGCAAGACAGGCAGGCAGGCAGACAAGACAGAAGGTAGGGTGGGCTTCTGCCCCACACGGGAAGCGCGCCATTCCTGAGCCCGTCCTGCGCCAGGCCTGGCGGGGGGGGGGGGGGGCTGCACGCCAGCAGCTGCCTTACCTAGGCTGGGGGAGGGCTGCTGGGGGAGGAGGTAGCAGGTGAGCACCTTCTCGCCAGTCTTCTCGTCGTCTTCCGTCTGGAACTTCAGCATGGGCTGCGACTGGTTCTCGGCCAGCCAGAGGGCCTTCAAGTTCAGACTGGTGAGGGCAAAGGGCAAGTGCTGCAGCCTGCGTCAGAGAGCAGCAACAGACCGTCAGGCAAGGGCCGGCCCTCAGGCGCGTCGCCCAGGAGGCGGGAAGGGCGAGGCGGCCTCCTCGGAGATGAGGGCAGACGTGCCGTGGGCCTCGCCCTCCTGCCGAGGGGAACGTGTGGACACAGCAGGCCAAGCCAGAGGCCAGAGTACAGACCAGCCGAGGATTCCTGGGCAACGTTATTTCCTTGTCATTCATTTTGTAATGTCCTGAACTGTACTTCATCCAGAAACGGATTCCAGCACAGGACACGCAGAAGGAGAGGGGCACGGCCGGAGGCCGATACGTGTGGCTTGCGTGTCACAGAGTGACGGGGGACAGAAGCAGGGAACTTGGGAGGAAGAACTATACCCCAAACTCTGCAGATGGCGAAATCACTCGATACCTTCTGATTCAGGAACAATTCTAGCCCGGGCCCGGGGGGGCACTGAGCTGCTTCTCCAGAAAGCACCAAGGAGCTGCCCCATTGCCAGCTCCACAAGAAGCCCCCAAGCAGCTCGGGCGCACGAGGCAGCCTTGGCTGAGCCTCTCCCCTGTGCCCGGGGAGGGCAGGGCTGCAGAGAAGTGGAGAGCACGGGTTCGGGAGAGAAAGGATAAGGCTCTGCACAGAGACCAGAGGCCACCTGAGCGGCCACTACGGTTAAGAGCAACAGCAGCACCCTCCCGGGGGCTCCTCAGCACAGCCCTCCCCAGCGAACGCAAACGGTGCGACGGAGGAGTCAAGCACAAGCCGACTTTGTGGCCAGGCAGTAACGTGGCCGGCCTTTCTGTGGCCGTGGCTGCGCTGCGCACCTGCAGCATACGCATGACCAGCTGGCCCGGCGAGGGAGCACCGCCTCGGAGCTGCCCGCACTGACGGGCCTGCGTGCAGGGACCAGCTTCAGAGCTCCTCCTCCGGCGAGCAGGCGGCAACTGGAGGGGAGTGCGGGGCCTTCACCGGGTGGCACCTCGGCTGGGGAAGCCGCTCTCCCCCGACGACCAGAGGCTTTCCAGGCACAGCCTGCAGGGCTCACTCGCACCAACGGCTAATTGCCGCCACTTTTCTGCACAGCTCGAGTTCTGCACGACTCCACCAGTGCACTCCCCCCGTCGGGAGCGCCCCGAGGATGTTCGTGCTGCCAGGCGCCACAGTGCTCACCAAAGGCCAACGCATCCAGGGCTGCTCAGCGGCCAGAATGGACAGGGCACCTCAGCTGGCACATGGCTTCTAGGTTGAGTATTTACATCCTGCTTTCCTACTCAGATACCCACAGAAGTGTCTCGTAATAAGAATAATACAGTGGCACCTCGGCTCACGAATGCCTCAGCTCATGACCAAATCGGGTCGCAAGCAGAAATTTCCTTAAAAACTTGTTGCAGGTCATGAACTCCGCATGGGGTGACGATCGCGAGCATGCCCGCCTTCCCTGCACGGGCGCGATTCCATTCGTGCTGCGGGGGGGTGGCAGCGATCATGCTCGGGTGGGGAGATGGCCGCGATTGCGCCTGTCTCCCCCCGAGCATGCCACGATTCCGCCCATGTCCCCCCACCCGCAAGCACGATCGCGGCCATCTCCCCCCTCCCAGCACAATCGTGGGGAGGGGGGGAGATGGCCATGATCTTTGCTCTTCTTTGGCACTTTGCTTCAAATTTTCCTGATTAAGAAAAAGTATTTACAGAATGGATTAACCTTATTTACATTGACCCTTATGGGGAAATCTGGGCTCGCAACCAATTTGGGTCACGACCAGAGCGGATAAAGTTTGTGAGCCAAGGTCCTGCTGCACATGATACAACAGCCAACAGCGATGCGTCTTTAAAGGGTATCAGAAAGAAAACCGCAAGAGGCAGAGGTCCCGAAATTTCATCAAGGTCAGGCTAGAGGTTCAAAGTCCACCTCAGGAAAGGCATCAAAAGGCCCCGAGGCGTCAAACACTCCAAAAGTCCCAAGGTCAACAGCCAGGGCAGGGGCCCCTCCGCAGTCTTCCCTCCGCACCCGAGCTCACCGGTTGCCTGCTACATCCAGTACATGCAATTCAGTAGTGCTGGCAAGCTCAGGGGGCAGGAACTCCAGACGGTTGTCCCGAAGAGAGAGAACATTCAAGCTGCTACAGCCCCCAATCTCAGCAGGAAGGGCCACCAAGCGATTCCGGTCCACATTAAGATTTGTCAGCTTTGTGAGTTTTCCCAGTGCTTTGGGAAGGGCCTGAGAAAAGATTGCAAGAGGGCACAGGCGGTCAGAGGGAGGCATGCAGCCAAGAACCCTGGCGAGCAGGCTGGAGGGGGGACCAAGGTCTGGCCCGTGGCACAAGCACTCCTGGAAAGTGGTGCCCTCACTGGTCGCCCCCCGGCCGGCCAAGGGAGAGTGGGCGCCAGCCAGCACACCTACCGGCAGCAGGTTCTCAGTGAGGATGAGCTCCGACAGGTTGGTGCAGTCCCCAATTGCTTCCGTCACTTCCACTAACCGGTTCTGATCCACCTTCAGGATGGAGAGCTGCTTCAGCTGGCCTGAGCAAAGGGCAAGAAAGCCAATGACTACACTGTCCGTGTGTGGTGGGAAGGGTGAGGGAAAGGGAGGCCCTCTCCACAGCCAAGGTGGCCAACTGATTTCAAGGTGACTTTAGAAAAGCAGCAGATTTAAATAATTTCAACCCCAAGTTTCACACTGGAGAAATTGTATGAATTCTTAAACAGTTCCAAATACTGCCCTAGCAGATCCTTTTCTGATTTAAAAGAGTTGCTGCTGCTGCTGCTGCTGCTAGTCGCGAAGTCGTGTCCGACCCATCGCGACCCCATGGACACCATTCCTGCGGGCCTTCCTGTCCTCCACCGTCCCCCGTGAGCAAGATCGCAGGGCTCATGCGGCTGAAATGGATAAGGACAGAGGCCCTGGAGGCCACACAGGTGGGCAGTCAGTGATGGCCACGCAGGAGAGCGTCTCCCGAAGGGGAGGGGAGGCGGGCAGTCCCACGTCCTCAGTGCCCTGGCAGCTCATGGCCTGCAGCCCAGGCCAGCAGAACGTGACATCTTGCCCCAGGTGAGCTGCACTTGCCCTCAAAGACGCGCTCCTTGCTTCGAAGAACCAGGCCTTCACTCAACGCCTTGATGCTTTTAGATTACAGGTATAACATGTTTTGCCATTAATCAGACTATTTTAAAACTAATAAAAACAATTAGTCTTTTGGATTAATGTAAGACTAATCTTTTTATTTTTTTATTTTTTATTTTTATTACGAATATTTTTTATTCGTTTTTATTACGAATATTTTAATTTACTTATTCCTCAATCCAACCAATTCTATTCTGCTGCAAGTGCCTGCACCAAAAGACTGTGAAGCGGCCCTTTTAGCAAAAGGAAATGCGATTTTGGAAGGGCCTCCCCAGACGGACTCGCTGGGCGTTCTGAGAGAGGTCTTGCTGCCTCAGCCGCTCCAGCCCTTTCAGAGGGCAGCCCTATTCATGCTCAGGGGCAGAACGGCCCTACATTCTGGCTGGCTGAGGAAAGCTGACGGTTGCAGGACTTTTCTTTGCGTAAGCATGCATGGGACTGGGCCCTTGAACAACACAGCCTGGGCCTCTCCGTCTTAAAATCTGATCATTTAATTTAGGGGCACTGTATGTATTCTGTTGCTGCCATACTGGACGCTACTTTTGACTGGTGGTTTTGTATGCTATCTTGTATATACCCTGTGCCATGGATCACAGGCTATCCAGAGAAATTTGATAAGGAAGCAGACGAAAGTCATGCATGAAGAACACTAGCCTGGCACAGTGCAAGCGCACCTTCCACTCCAGAGCAGTCTGACCCTCTGCAGATGCCCCACGAACCAACTGCTCCCCACAAGGACAGCCACTCACCAACACCATCAGGAATGGATTCCAGCAGGTTCTGAGAGAGCAGCAGGTCTGTCAGGGCCACCAGCCCACTGATCTCGCCAGGCAGCTGCTCCAGTTTGTTCTCGGAGACGTCCAGGCAGACGAGGCGGCGCAAATTGCCCAGCTCCTGCATGCAAAATGGTACAGCCCACGTGCTGAGTGGCTGCACTGGACAACCCGGCAGCGCCTCCCGCTTGGGGGCCGCTGCCGGGATGCTCACCCTTGGCCATTCCTCTTCCCCTGCTGATTTTCCTCCAGCGACTCACTCGCCTTCTCAAGCAACGGCTTTCTACAGCCCTGGATCCCCTTGGCTGCTCTGCCAAGGAACGTTCCCTCCCACTTCCTTTGACACAGCATGTTGCGACAATGCATGCAGGTCATTCTACCTTGCTAGCAAGTAGCCGAATCATTGGAATGCGGCACAAAATACATTCGATCTCTAGTTCATGCATCGCTGTTTTTCTGTTTTCCTTTACATTGCAATACAAAAATCCCCAAATTCAAATAATCTTTATTTAAATATAGCCGAGGGGCATCATGCACTCCATATTCTGTTAAAGCAAGATATGGCCAGGCTAGGCCACTCCATGCAGTACTCACAGGGGGCAACGCTGAAAGCTGGTTCCTGTCCAGCCACAGCTCCCGCAGATTCGGCAAGGCACCTAGTGTATCCGGCTGTGAACGAGAAGGATCACACCATCACCCAGGACGGCCCGCCACTGGGTGCCCGCTTCAGCCTGCGAGGACCACAACACTGCCCTCAAGTTGGCTGCTCCAACACCCCCCTCCAAGTTAACACTGCGTGCTAGGGGAGTGGGGCCACAAAGGACGGAGCCGGCGGAGGTACGAGTTGGGGGAGAAGGGGGTGTTGCAGCCTGCAGTGGGAAGAAGGCCCCAGCCGCCCCTGGAAAACAGTGCACGGTGTGGCGCAGGGCGCACCAGGCCTGCGGATTGGCCAGAGGAATTCCAAGCACATCAGCGAAGCCATCTGAACACACACACACACTCACCAGCACTTCCAGGTCGTTGCCGCCAAGGTCCAACTGCTCCAGTTTGACCAGGAATGAGAGCGAACTACAAACCAGAGAAGGTCACTCAGAGGTGCCTGAGGCACAGGAACCCGAAAGAGGGAAGCCGCACAGCCTGACTGAATGCAGCCGTCCCCTTCCCAAGGCACCCACAACACTCCTAGGTGCTCTGCAGGGTCAGGATGCCAAGCAGACAAAAGGACTCCTTGACCCTCCCCTCAAAATGTGGAAGCACTTTCCAAGGGCGAGGTTTACTATCCCTCAGAGGTGAGGATGCGCCCTGCAGACGGGCTTGTCTGCAAACACTCACGCTGGGAGAGACTTCAGCAGGTTTTCACGGAGCTCCAAAGTCACCAGGTTGGCCAAGCTGCAAGAGAAGGAAGTTTAACTGCAGGCAGGAGGGAAAGTGGGGGACGGCCCACCGGAAGTACGGATGAGGCATGGCCAGCACCCTCCCCCGGCCCCGCTAGCCCAAGCCCGGCTGGCCCGAACTCACTTGCCAATGTCGCTGGGCAGACTCTGCAAGGAGACGTCGTTCAAGGCCAGGTGGCCCAAGCTGCGCAGCTGGGTGAAGCCCTCGGGAAGCCTAATGCAGCACAAAGACACACTCGGTGGAGGGCAGAGGCTGCTGCCTCCCAGGCGTGCGGTGCCCCTTCCTGCCAGGCCGGGAGAGCCACCTGAGCCCCGCTGAGCCCAGCAAAGGCCAGTCGGAACGGTGGGCACACTCAGCGGCTCCAAAGGGAGCAAGCCTTCGGGGACGGGATCCCTCTCGCTCCCGGCTGCCACCTCACTTAAGGGGTGCTTGCTTCCTTTCCGTTCATTTCTGTAACAGCCAATCACTGAAGCTCTCTCAACAATTCACAATAATTCATTAAAATATGAACTATGATTACAAACAGCACAACATTTTCAATACATGAAAATTAAAGCAGGATTAACATGCTTTAGGGAATCCACAGGGAAGGGAGGCTTCCGCAGGGCAGCAGGAAGCGTTCCAGAGTCCGCCAGATCTCCAAGCAGGTGACGTCATCGGTCCACTTCCCTATCTGCTTTTTATCTGGGACTTTCCGGACATGCACAGCAGAGCCCTGTCTTCCCACGTAGCTGGTACCTGGACAAAGGATTCCCGCTGAAGTCCGCAATCTCCAAGGACTTGCAGAATTTGATGCTCTCTGGAATCTCTGGAATGTCTGCAGCAGGGAAGGAGGGGGGCACAATGGGGGCTCCGTCGGCCAAGGTGCCAGTCACCGAGAGACTGCTTTTGGATTTTGACTAAGCCATGCCTGCCACAGCACCCCACCGGGCCGGGCTGACAAAGAGCTCCTCCTTGCAGAAGCATCCGATTTCTGGGTGCCCAAATGAAAGGCCAGGAGCAACCAGGGAGTCTGGGGTTCAGCTCCCTGCTCACCCAGAGCCACGGTGCTGGGCAGGCAGCCAAGCCCTAACCTACCTCGCAGGGGCACTGTGAGGGGGAGGGCAGGCCGGGGCAGGGCCATCCTAACGGCATTATGGGCCCCTACGACAACTGCAACGACTGCTAATTTTGGAAGTTTCCCCATTTTCCAAGGGTTAACACGCACAGATTAGTATGGGACCCACGGACAAGTGCCCATCTGGCCCATGCGTTAAGACGGCCCTGCTGGGGCCTGCATAGCTTTGTCCCAGGCCCTGAGCTCCTCCTTCCGGAGGGGAAGAGCAAGCCACCCAGTTGCTCGGAGAAGTCGTGGCCTCTTCCAGACCAGGCACATGCAAAAAAAAAGCGGGCAGCCCTCTGAGTGGGATGGTGCCAACTGGTGACCTGCAACAGCAGGGGCTGGACCCGATGGCCTTCGTGGCCCCTTCCAACTCAGCTACTCTACGATTCTGTGAAAAGCACCAGCTTCACATGCTGGGTCCGAGGCGACCTCCCGGAAGGAGAGCCGCCACCGCCACCCACAGCAGACCGGCCCTGGCCAGGGGCAAAAGAGGCCAGGCGGCATCCAAGGTGGCTTACACCATGGAGCAGGTTGGCTAGCGCCCACCCCCAGCAGAACCAGCGGCCCAGGGATGGTGTGCTCGCCACTGCAGGAGGCCTGTGAGCAACAGCTGGGCAGCCATCGGTCTCAGGTGCCGAGAACTGGACCCTGGCGCAGAGCAGAGGGCTGCGACGATGGCCTCGTGGGTGCCCCCAGCCTGGGGCTTGCCCACGGGCCCTGCTTGCCAGCCAGTTCCCGCTGCTGCCCAGGCCCCTCTCAGGAGACAGGAAGCTTTCAGCGCCACTCACGGGAGATGGGGCAGGCGTGGGGCGAGGTGCTGATGTCCCCACCCCGCCCCGTCTTTCACCTACCATTGCGGGAGATGTCCAGCTCCACGAGCTGCATGAAGTTGGCCACTTCAGGTGGGAGGCGCTGGATCTCATTGTCGCTCAAGCCCAGCTTGCGCAGGTTCAGCAGTCGGAAGAAAGGCTGGGGGGAGAGGAGAGAAGGCAGCCCTCCGTTCAGACTCGCTCCTCCAGAAAGCGCCTGCCCTGCCCCTGCCAGCCCCACCCTGAGCTTGGGCAGGAGCCCCCCCTCCAGCCCCAATCAAGACGCAACGGTGACGGCACGGGTGCGGCCCCTCCGTGAACAGCGGGCACGGCCCGACCACCGAAACCAAACGTGGAGGGGCGGCATCCCCGCCAGCCCCCACGGGGAGGAGGCCTCAGGAAGGAGGCGGTGGTGGCAGCGAGGGAAATGCCCGCGCGGGGACACTGAGAGGGACCCGGCATCACCCTGCCCACCCGAGACAAGGCACGCTACCACGGCGCCAGCCCTGGCCATGCCAGTGGCTGCCGATGCCTTGCAAAGTCACGGTCAAGGAGGGGGCTCGTTGGGCAACCACTTAGCGATTTCATTGCAACCAGCAACGTTTAAATATCACAGATAAAATAAACCATGGGAACGCCCCCCCATGCCACCTCCCTGCTCTTCAGGAAATCCAGGCCCTCAGGATAGTGTGCCCCAACATTTCCATCTGAGCAGCAACAGCTCCTGGCCTCGAGCTTCACTGACTAAACCCAGCAAGCAACTCTGACAATTTGAAGATTAGCACTTTTCTTCTGGGAGAAGCTTTCGCGGGCCCTGAAAGCTCTGAGGAATCGGTAAGTGTGCTTTTGTTCTTTCTTCACAGTTCCCGAGTCTCTTGGCCGCATTTGCTGCCCAGGCCTGCATGGCAACCCTTCTGCCCTCACCACTTCCTGGGGTGCTCAGTCGCCCCAGTGCGCAGTTAGGGGACTGCGCAGGAGCCACAGTGGGTCGGGTGCCAGTCAGGCCCCCGCTGAGCCTCCAAGTGCAGGGGCTGCCCCTGCCTGGTGTCCGCAAGTCCTCCGAACGGTGCCGGGAGCGCATGGCGCCCGCTGGGCTCTTATGGGTGCATCGGGACATCTCGCTGGGGTGCCTCTGGGGAAGGGCCATGCCGGCACACGGCCCTCCCAGCCGCTACCGCACGGAGCCCCAGGAGTGGCACTGGACGCAAAAGCGGGCTTGAGCGACGACCTGGCTGCAAGAGGAGTGTGGCAGCCACACACACCGACGGGCACCCCGGCACACGGCCAGCACTTCTGCCTTAGCACGGCTGTCTCGGCACTGCCCGTGCGTGTGCAGCCCCCGCCCAGGGACCGCTCGGGCACTGCACCCACTTTCCCACTTCCACTTCACTGGCATGTGCCACCTGGGGGTTCGAATGCTGGACGGGGGACCCAGGAGGTCGTGTCTCGCTTGCGCTCAGCCATGAATCCCACGCGGTGCCTGCGCCTGTCGCTCCCCCTCAGCCACACTTTCCTCACGGGGTCAAATGGAGAGCAGAGGAACTACATGAGCCGCCTTGCCTTCCTCACAAAAGGAAAAAGTGGGGCATAAAAGCAACAGGAGGACAAGATACTTGTCCTCGGGCATTTCACAAAATAATAAAATACACACACAAGTATTAAATCAAAAACAAATTAAAACAGTAACACCTACAGCAGAAGACAACACTGGAAGGATCTAAAACAGGTTTGAACTGAAAGCTAAGCCCCTCCCGTGGTTCTGCATGCACAAGAGCGATCTTCGTGGCACCTGCAAAGCAAAGGCCACACCAGAAAGGCAGCAGCATCTTCCAAGACCAACTCCTCAGGAACAGCTGCAATTTTCACAAAACTGCCGGCACACATCCACATGCCCAGAGAAGGTGATCCCAAAGAATATTCCGAATAAAGGTATCAAAGGTTGCTGTGGAGATTCAGGAGATTCTGAAGTGCTGCCTCGTCACGGAGTCACGCCATCAAGCGGATGTCCGGTTAGGACGAGAGGAAAAGAGCGCAAGCCACACTCCGCCTTGGATCCAGCTGACAAGCAAGGGGGACCCGGCCCTGGAGCTCAAAGATGCCAACCAAGTGCCCAGCACAGAACCCCGCCTCGAGATGGCCAGCCCAGGCCCCAGATCCAGCCCCAGTGTGGGACAGGTGTCAAGCGGAGCTCCATTCCGTAAGCTCGGAAGGACGGGCCCCACAGCTCCTCCTTCCCTGAAGCTGGGCTGACGCCGCAGGCAGCCAACTGGAAGGAAGAGGCGCTCTGCTTGCTGGCGTCAGGACGTGGCCCTGCGAGCATCGGCAGGGTGGGTGCTCCTCTGTGGGCAGGTAGCTGGGAAGCAAGCACACGCTGAAGCTGAAGCTCCTGGATGCTCACAGAAGAACAGCCTTGCACGGCCCGTTTGCCACAGCAACGCAAGTGTCCCCCGGACTCCTTGTGCCTTGGCCCCTGGCATCTGCACGCCTTCCTCTGAGCAGACCCGGCCTTGCCCCAGCTGCTCCTACCCGTGGTGCAATGACACACTCGGGAAACCGACCTTGGAACTGTGCTCGGACTCTCCCTCCCCACGAAACCTGACTGCTCTGCTCCATCTGTTCACCCTGGGACTGTTGTCTGGCCCCTCGCCTCCGGCCCCTCGGCCAAGCTTGAGCTCCCTATACCCCGCACCTGCCATTCTGCCCATTCCTGCTGCCGCCCGTGGCCCGGCCCTCACACCAAGCCAGGGTCCTTCACATCCGAAATCTCAGAACAGAAAAAATGGAACTGGCTGTACCTGTAGGTTTCACTGTCCAGGTGGAGGCGGGTGGCGTGGCTGCTACTGCCATGGCTGCTTCAAGAAATGTATCAGCCAAGTTTCTATATTGCTGGAAATGATCAGACCACAAATAACCAGTTCCAAACGACTCTGCTAAGTGGGTGAAAGACCCACAATTCAATTTCCATGCCATAATTGGCTACCAAAGCCACATGTAATTTAAAATTCACCACAGAAGGAAATAAAACAGTAACAGATTTAAATCTGAAACCAAGGGCACAGCCAGATTTCAGGGCTGCCCACATCAGCCGCAAAAGCCTGTCAGACAGTCCCTAAGGGGAAGCCCCACCAAGGCGGGACCCAAAGCCAAAGCACCACCCGCCCCGCTGCTGACAAACCTGCCGCAGACCCACGCTGGCAACCCCGTGGGAGCCCAGCAGGAGGAGCTCCCTCACCCACCAGGTCACCAAGCACTGAGGTGCGAAAGCTCAGAGAGAGTGCCCTGCGTGCTGGTGTGATCCTGCCCCGGAACCAGTGCCTTAGGCCAATGCCCAGAGCTGCTACACCATGGAGTAGCGGATGCTCTTCAGAGGCAGCCCCGCTCACAGCACCTTGAAGTAGCCAAATCCAGAGGCAATCAAGGTGCATAAGCCTATCATCACAGCAAAGTTCTTCCCGCTCGCCCAGAAAAGGGCATCGCAGAGGCTGCTACACCGAAAGGAGGGGCCCTCGGCTGTGAAAGTCAAGCCAACAAATAGCGGAGTGGAAGCAGAAGGCAGCCCAGGCTGTACTGGGAAGGGAGAAGCATGAGTCCGGCACATGCTTCCAGGTAAGCTGGCCTATCCATCAGCAGCTTCTTAATTTTACCCGGGCTCGGCAGCATCTGGTGACCTGCACCCTGCCAGCATCCACGCCGACCACCCAAGCGGAGAGCCTGGCTTCCCGGGGCACAGGAGGCAAGCAGGCTGGTGCCGCAGCCCTCGCAGGGCAGGCGCACTGGGCAGAGCAGCAGGCCTGCGGCATCGCTTTCTGGAACCGCCCGACGGGTCTGCCTGCAGCTACTGCGAAGCAAACCCCTCCCTCCAAAGCAGGCTAAGCAGCCCAGAGAAACTTGCGCACTGCTCTGCCGATGTTTCCAGACTCGCTGTAGAGAAAGAGAAGGTCCTCTTCTCTTGTAAGACTAAAGCCAATAATGTCAGGCCAGGTAGGGAATGGGTGAGAGGAGACTCAGGACAGATGAAAGGGAGGGCTTCTTCACCGGCTGCCACAAGGAGGGGGCTGGATCTCTTCTCGATCATCCCAGAGCGCAGGACATGAAGCAGCGGGCTCGAGCCACAGGGAGCCAGCTTGGGCCGAGCACCAGGAGGAACTTCCTGAGCGTGACGTGCAGCATGACAATGACACCAGTGGCCTGGGGAGGCCGTGGCCCTCCCACACTGGAGGCGCTCAAGGTGCAGCTGGAGAGCCCTCCAAGAGGGACAGTCCCGCTTGCACTGAGCAGGGGGCTGAACCCGAAGGCCTTCTCAGCTCCCCCCAGCGCTAGAATTCTATGGGTCTACGGAACGCTAAGAAAATGCAAAGCAAGGCGTGCAGTCAGCCTACCCGCACATGGAAACTGGAAGGTAGGACTGAGGTTGCCCAAGTCCTGGGCAAGCAGCCAGTTTCAGCGATGAGCCCAGGATGCTGCTGGGGGGGCAAAGGGGGGCTTCTTGACAAAGGCTTCGGTGTGGGAGGAGACGCGAGGAGACCGTGACCTTTTCCCGGCTTCCGTTCAGGGCCAAATCGGTTTCTCTCTCATCCTGCTGAGAGGGGCCTTGCACGGCATTTCCGTGCCACGTTTGTGCCACGCACTCCTGCAAGGCACCACTCAGTTCAGGTGAGGGGTCTCCAGAGAACAGTGGTGCTTGTGTCCCTCCCTGCTCCTTTCTGTTGGGCCCCAAGGGCAGCCAGGCATCTCCCCCACTTGGCTTCCCTTCCTGCACTCCCGCTCGCACCAGGCGAAGGCCAACGCCAGGGAGCTGGAGGGAAGCGTTCCTCTTTGCGCCAGAAGAAGCAAGGCCTCCCCCATGCTCCAAACCAATTTCGACAGCTAGTGACAGCAAGTCTCATTTGCCTGGCCCCCTACAATTTAGAGCTTTATTTGCCCATGGAAAATGTTCCATTTTCTATGTTCATTAGTAAAAAAAATGAAGGAACATATAACAATTGCAAAAGCAATATTAAACAAGCTTGGCAGTTCTAAAGTTGTTATTAATGTTAGTAATTTAAGTATGTGAGAGGCGACACATCTGTCTCTCTGAAATAGACATGTCTCTGTGCAAAATGGAACTGATAAGTGGTATCAGTGAAACTCAAGGTTTCTAACAGCCTCGGTGCAAAAGAG